AGTCTACGTCTTTAGTTTCTAGTCTTCTGTTTAACAGAAAAAACTTCTACTTAGAAATAACACTAACGTCATTTTTTAAATATTTATCAAATACTCTTATTGATATTGACTTACTAAACTTTTCCATTGAATGTCAAAAAATCAATTGAGTTTATGACCGGTTTAAAATTTAATTTGACGTATTTAAAAAAATTTCTTTAATATTAAAAATTTTAACTATTTCAACTAAAGTCTTATTTTCAATAACTAAAGGATCATTAGTTAAACTTATTTAAATACTGATAACATTATAGGAAACATGATTTAAATGAATATTGTCTTATTCATAAACTGTACAAAACCTGCTCCACCTTACCAGCTCAAACCTTTTACCTGTTTAAGTATTTAATGGATTCATCAAACCATACACAGAATATTTTATCTTCAAATCTTTCTATTTCACAGGCACACCTCATTTATATTTTAAATCTCTTGTCATGCATCTGGAATGTAAATCTTTTTCAATCCATTAGTTGAATAAATTAAGTAGATTTTTACAGTCTTGTAATATCTTGATCTTTAATCATATCTTTCAAGTTACCTAATTCCAAAAAAAGTAAGTTTTTATTTTTATCTAGCACTTGAATTGCATGATTTACACATAACATTATTTAATCCAGTTGTTACATAACACCCTCACAATCATCACATTTGATATTGATACACAGATACACAATCCCTCTACATAACAACCATTTAAAAATTGTTCACATGTCTCACAATAGAACTGAAAAACTTCATCAAGTTTAAAACAGTCAATTATTTTTAAGAAAATCTCTTGGGTTAAATTTCTATGTTCTTTACAATGGATATGTTTAAAATAAAAAAATGCTAAATAAACATTCATATGAATTTGTCTGTTTTTCTTTACAATGTCAAAAAGCATACATTTCTGTTTATATCTTCAATCTCATTAACAGTTCCATTTCATTAGTATCCGAAACAAAAACAATATTACAACTTCTATTTCTACAGTATTTTGCACATATATTTACAATAAAAAACGAACTTATAATATTATTTTAGGAAGAGTGGTTATTTACATATGGTAGAGCTGATTTTATAAATTTCTTGATTTTTTTATTGGATTTATTTTTCATAAAAATTTGTTTCTTTTAACAAACAAAAAAATAACAACTGATTTCTTTGTATAATTTCAAAATGAAAATTTTTTTGCTTATATTAAGCTTTAAATGAAAATAAGTAAATAAATCACAATTAAAACCTTTTTTTAATGAAACATAACTAATTTTGTACAAAGAATTAAATAATCTATACAACACTAACAATGTGATGCTACTACAGTATATAATATAATTTACGTAATTTGTATTAATTTAAATATAAAAGAAAACAAACTTGAAAACAAGTTATATTGGAAAATTGGTGGTTTTATATACATACAATAGATGTAAAGAAATTTATACCGTTATTCTTGAATATTTTAGAAGACATATTGAATTCTTAAATAAAGATGTTTTTGCAAGTATCTTTAAACATGATTTAATAAATATATAAATTTAATATATCACAACAATAATTTTTCATTTTATTAATAAATGTGAAATTATAAAATAATTAGATTTTTTGAGAGAAGAGATATTTAGGAATTAGCAGAATTAAATATTGATATATTTTTAATCGTTTTCAACGATAATGATCACATCAGAATTATTTCTATAAATAATTAAAAAAACTTTATAAGTAAAGGAAAAAACATGAAAACATAGCTATTAACAATCTCATCAGTAAATAATTACAGGTTGTTATTGAAATTTATTTAAAAGAATTAAGCAGTATGACAGAAAGTATAGTATATGATGTTTATAAGCCATTTAATAATAATATTTTGGAAAGCATTTAAATGAAACTTTAGAGAGTGTTATTATAGAAATGAGTTTATAATATAGTTAATATTTATATTACATCATATTTTAATTAATATAAATGTAAAAATAATAATAATATCTCTATAAGAGCAGTATTATTAACAAAGTATAATTTAGAACAGAGGTTAAATAAGTTTACAGAAAAATTTTATAAGAATGAAATAATTAAAGAAGTGAAAACACTTATTGAACAACAAATCAATGAGGATTTAAATGTAAACAAGTCTGATAATATGTCTTTAAATTCCTTTAATAAAATAAAATTAAAAATATGAGATTAATTTTATTAAAAGCTTGTTGTAATTTTATTGATCAAATATTTAAAGAATCATTTTATAAATAAGTGGAAGTTTGGAACAAATTTAAAAGGTATAAGATTGAATAAAAATTGTTAATGATAATATTATACATTTCCTCTTAAAAAAACATCTATTAATGATAAAACCATGTTATATAATAATTGGTTGATTTTACAAATCAAATTGCCAGTGAATCTAGTAATAAAAACAACAATATTTACAAAATGAAATTTTTTTAAAAGATTTTTGATTTAGTTGACGGAAAGAATAAATTTTACATTGTTCATCAAAGAGGTAAAAGAACAAAATTTAAAACAAGATTAATCAACCAAAATTTTTTTTATTATCTCAATGTAAAATTTAAACAACGATATCCCCTATAGTTACATACATTGTTATTTCAAATTCATATATAAAACAATTAAAAAGTAATTAATTAATTTTTTAATATTATTTAAACAAGACCTTTAAATGAATTTTGTTTGAAATAAATAACAAACATATCTTATAAATAACACATACAGAATCCCTTTACCATCTAAAAAAATAATAGATATATAATCAGCTGTATATGGTATGATAATAATATAGTTTCTTATGATTTATTTATAAAAAATATTACAATAACTTAAATGTTTAAATTTACAAAAAAATAAAAAATAAATTTATAAAGAAAATCTTTAAAAATTAACCAACTAAACATCTTGTTAATGATGGGTTGATTAAAATAAGTAAAATCATTTGATATTCACACAAAATTTTATCAGAAATAAATATTACATCATCTTCGCAAATATCTTTGTAGTTTTTTATGTCTTCACAATTTAGTAAAATACTATCATTATTTTCAAGATAAGAGAAAGGTATACAGAATTTCAAAAATTTAAAATTAATCATTCTTATATAAAAACTTAATTTTGTATTATAATTTTCACTTTCTATAAAAAGAAAATCTAATAACTTTATATTTAGTTGTTGAATTTCATTTCTTAAATCATCATTATTATTATCAAAATATTTAAAAATACAAGAGTTGATTTTAAAACGAGTTAAACTGTAGTTATAAGAATAATTATACTTTTCAATTAAAATAATTATCTCTACAATGTATTTCGAAAACTCTTTTAAAAAATTTTTAATTTCTTCATCATTTTCAATATTAATTATTTCAGTATCAACTTGAGAAATATAATATAAAACTTTTTCAAATAAAGATTCTTTTATCTCAGGTGAGTATATTTTATCAAATTTAAACGGGTGTAGTACATTTTTACTATTAAAAGCATATGAGCTTAACATCTTCTTTTTAACTTCTATTATTGGAATAATAAGAAATCTATATGATTTATACTGACAAATTACCTTATCTATAAAAATACACATTGACAAAAAATCCATATAAATTTCTAATAGAGATTCATCATTAGAAAGTCTAATATCCTTTTGATTTTTCTTTAACGAATCTAAAAATTTATAAATACAATTTATAGGATCACAAGATGAACAGTCTGAAATATCATATTTAACTTGATCACTATTTTTAACTTTTATTATTATCAATTTGCCAAATAATATTAAATCATCCACAAGCCCGTTAATATATCTATTAAAATAACCAATACAATCGTATTTATCCAAATATTCTTCACTATTTAATTGTTCTTCCTTAAAATTAATATTTAATTGGTTTAATATTGAATTAATTTCATCCATAGATACACAACTGTATTTAGATTCAAGTAATCTTATAACCAAAGGTATATTCTTCATCAAGAAATTCTTTAATTGAATATATTTATTAACTGATTGATTAATTTCATCATTTTCTTCTAAAATTATGTTAGATATAGTATTATTATCACTTACTAAGGTACAACCAAAGCTAAAATTCACTTTAAAGAAGATTTTTGAAAAATTCATGGTTAAAAAATAAAATTTATTTTATAAAAGAATTAGACTTAAATGTAAATTAAAATCAAGATTATAAAATAATTGAAAACAAATAATAAAATCTTTTAATTATAAAATAAACACTAACATTTAGTTTATTTTCAGTTTAAATTTTAAAAGTAAAAATAATTTAAGAAATAACCTTAAATTATAAATAATAAATTGGTGTTAAAGATTAAGATGACGTCAAACCATTAAAATTTTATAAAACATTGATTATTTCAAAAACTAGATTGTATTAATAAAAAAACTTAGAAATATATTTTAGATTTGAAGTCTTAATTATAATAATAAAGAAAACAAAATAAATGTAAGTTTAAACTGCTTTTCTATGTTTTTAAACTTTTATTTAAATTATTTTTTTATAAAAATTCTAAAATTAAAAATAATACTATCGAAAACACTAGGAGATAATAAAATTAATTTATTCAACTTATCTATAGAAATACTCTTAACTTCCTTGTTATGTTCTTCCTTATTTATTTTTTAGTTTGTATTAATTGTTGTTATAGCATAAACCATCTGTATTTATAATCAGAGTAAAAAATTATCAATAAAATTTATAGTTATGTTAGATAGTTTTCACTATAGTTTTATTCATTATTTTGGTTCCATAAAATACTGATTACATATTACAACAAATATAAACAAAAGATTTGGTTTTTAATTTAGAAAAGTCAATTATTTAAACATGAAATAATTTTGAATATAATTTCTTTTGTATTCTTCTAATTAATTTTTTTAAATTATCTTTATAAATTCTAAAAACCTTTTAATGAATTTTAGATTTGATTTCTAAAAATTATAAAAACAAATATATTCCTTGTGTGTTTATTAATATATCTATCTTTGACATTTTCTTTTAAATATTTGATTATTTAATAATTTTCATTTAGAATTTTATATGCATCATAAATCTTACTAACATCAATGGTATTGAATGAAATAAGATTGTCGGGATGATTAGATTATTTTAATATAAATTTTTTACCTTATTTTTATCTATTTTAAACTTTAGTTGATATTTAAAAATAGAAAATGGATTTTCTTTCATCATAAAAATTTTAACCCCAAAATGAAAGAAAATTTAATTGGTTTTTAAAAATTAAAAACATTTAAGAAAACAGATAATACAACTCTCAAAGAATAATCTAAGATAATAAAAACCAATAAATTAAAAGTAATTTACAAACTATTTATTGGAAAATAAAAGAATATTGTGATCAATTAGAAAGTAGATATAAGAAATCCGCAGTGAAACAAGAATAATTTGAAAAGTTTAATAAGAAAAAAGAAATTAGTACGAAGAAAGAATTAAAGAGGTTTTATAAAAGTAAATAATCTAAAGTGATAGAAAATGAAAATAGTTTTTATAAATCTTTAAGCAATGAAGATAAAAAGATATTATAAAACTAATATAAAAA